TATTGGTGAAAGATCTAGGTTTATAACCAACAGGATGGAGGTTCAAAGGGGAGATCCATCAGCACTGAGAAACAGCACTCAGAACCAGGTTTCTCCAAGGCTATCCCTTTAACTCACCATGGCAAAGTCATGGAAAGTTTCACTGGCCCCAAATGTGCAGTGATACATAAACATCGTAACTGGATTGTAATAAGCTCATTCTTGACTTTAAAACCCAGCTCATTTCAGATCCCGGACGAGCCCCCAGTTATAAGCCCCAGCTCAATGTGTATATCAGTGGTGTCCAATCCTGCACCTTTCATCAGAATTTAGCTTAAGCCTTAACCAATTAATCAAGCTCTTCCAAACAGGTGTGCTGGAGTTAAACTTGACAGGAAGTCGGCGCCGATGGCCTCATGGGCAGCGCGCCGACATGTAGCGCTTCGGGCGACCCGAGTTCAAGTCCCGGCTCGCGGTCCTTTCCCGATCCCACCCCCCTCTCTCTCACCCACTTCGCTTCCTGTCGAATCGACCTACTGTCCTATCTAAATAAAAGGCATAAAACGCCAAAAAAAATCTTTAAAAAAAAAAAAACTTGACAGGAAGGTGGCCCTGCAGAAGCAGGATTGGACACCCCTGGTGTATATCTTGACCAACGCAGTTAAGGAAACAAACAAAGTAATTACAATAATTCAGAGGATGAAATATCTACATTATTTAACTTGTGCCAGAAAAGCTAGGTAGCTCCAGCAACCTAAGATAAGATTCAATGAACGGAACACTCTGGACTGAATTTAAAACAGTTAGAATTGATTGTGGGTTCCTCTCAAATTATGGGGAAAGTATTGTGTCTATTGTCTTAGGTCAACACAATCCATTCTTAGTCTCTTCTGTCATATAAAAGACCAAAAACAGGAGCTATTTTTCCCCAACTACGACAATATGGGACAAAGAAAGAGTTGTCTAGCATGACCAAGTTTCACAATGGTCCTTTGTCCAGAATAGGTTTCCCTTACGCATTTTCCTTCATCTACACGGGCATCCCGTTTGCCTTCTGATTGAATATTGATCATTTGTAAACATTAAACACAATTAACCTGAAAGGCGAGCAGTACAAGATAAAAGCTAATCCAGGATCAGTATATTCGTACGACTAAGCATAGAGGGACAAAAGAGAGCGAAAGAGAGGACAAGTTTTATTCATCATGTAGTGGACATCGGTGAGAGTTCTACCTTTTCTGCAGAACGGAGGTGGACAGGTTGATTCAGTCTGAAGTTTGTGTCACAATGGCAAATGTCTACAAATTTGGACAGCATGATCAAATACAGCCAAGTACAAAGGAATGTTTCCCTGCTAACACAACTGATCGCAGACCTTGACTGAAGCGAAGATCCTAGAATATATTCCTTCACAAACTTACTTATAAAGAAACGGGAGAAGTGTTTCTTGACAACGTAAACAGACAACAGGAAGGATAAGCTTGTGATTGTTTTATACAGAATTGCTCAGAACAGGAAAACTAAGATACAGAGCTGAAAAACACAGATGAAACAGAGCTTGTTGCGATTTTTGGACCAGTTTGATGTTTTTCTATTTATTTTTGCTCTAGTTTCCAAATGCCTTTCTCATTCGTAGCTTCATTGGCTGTTGCTTATTACTGCCCTCTCGCTTGTCAGGATAGTGAACACAACTGAAGACTAAATGGAGCATATTTCAAAGCCTGAAGCAAAGCTTGAAATCTGTCGTAGCCTCGACAACCGTAGTGTCTCTCTCAAGTGTGCTTAAGTCCTGTAGTGTGGGGAAGTCGTGGCCTAATGGTTAGAGAGTCGGACTCGTAACCCAAAGGTTGTGGGTTCGAGTCTCGTACCGGCAGGGATTGTAGGTGGGGGGAGTGAATGTACAGCGCTCTCTCCCACCTTCAATACCACGACTGAGGTGCCCTTGAGCAAGGCACCGAACCCCCAACTGCTCCCCGGGTGCCGCAGCAAAAAAATGGCTGCCCACTGCTCCGGGTGTGTGTTCACGGTGTGTGTGTGTTCACTGCTGTGTGTGTGCACTTTGGATGGGATAAATGCAGAGCACTAATTCCGAGTATGGGTCACCATACTTGGCCACATGTCACGTCACGTGTGCACTCAGTTAAGAGGCCCAATTTGATGTTTAAAAGAATGGAAAATAAGATCTTCCTTGCTCTTTTGAAATAAAACAAGTTGCCATGTAAACATCCTCCTAGTCTAATAATAAAAAGGTTTAGAACCAGTTGAGGTTGACTGCTTGGAAGTTCTTAAAGTCGTGATGAAATGGAAGCAGCAAAAGATCTTCTGCATTGTGACAAACATTTCAATGTAACAGATTATCATAAAATGTAGGGGGCACTTGGTTCTATCCATCGGTTGTTGATTGGAATTAAAAGGTAAAAGGTTTGGGTTTGATTTACACTGAATGATGGCGCATCCACTAAATTTAAAAAAAGAACCATCTTCTTTTCATTATCACAATAAACTCTAAATAAACCCTAAACTGCCCAGGGAAATAACTTAATTGGTGTCACCGACAGGGCTCTAACTTAAAGCTAATCTCACAAAGACTCTCAGATACAAACCAGAGCTGCCTTTCAAAATTAGGACTGTTAAATTTAACATTATCCACTTAATACAATTAATAACTATATAAAATAATGTGACTAAACACATAACACAGTTTAAGGATGCCCTCTGACCCATAAGTAAATTCCACATTAGGAATATTCCTACCATTGGAGCAATTCGTGCTTGAAATTCAGCTGCTACTAAAGGCAACACGCCTCGCCAAATCACATTTACAGAGAGCAGACCGCTCAAAAACAGTTCACACAGGATGCATTCTTGCGATTAAAATAGCAAGATAGAGTGCAACTGCATGGAACTGAATGCAGGGGTTTTGAGACATGCAAAAGACACAACAGACCTATAGTTAAAAAAGTACAGAATAAATGCTAGAATGCGTCATGTGTGAACTTTACTTCAGACCGAATGAAAAATTTAGTTGCAAAATGAATTGTGGAATCAAACCAATTGAAGTCATTTTTTGTAAAATCTCTTGCTTTACTCGTTTGCCACAATGTTATATCTTGAAATTTATGCTTCATGTGGGGGCTTTTTGCAATTAATATAATTAAATATCACATACACTACCATTCAAAAGTCTAAGGTTGGTAAGATTTTGTTGTTGTTTTAAAGAAGTCTCTTATGCTCATAAGGTTGCATTAATTTGATCAAAGATTAAATAAACAGCAATATAGTGAAATAATTTTACAATTATTTTAATACATTTAAAATGTAAACTATTCCTGTAACGCTAAAGCTGAATTTTCTGCGTCTTCAGTGCCACATAATCCTTCAGAAATCCTTCCAATATGCTGATTTTCTGCTCAAGAAACATTTCTGATTATTAAAGTTGAAAATATTTCTGCTGCTTAATATTTTTGTGAAAACAGCATCTATTCAAAATAGAATGTCTTTATTGCCACTAATGCATCCTTGTGGATTAAAAGTATTAATTTCTTTAAATAATCTTACTGACCCCAAACTTTTGAATGGTAGTGTAATTAATTATATTAATTTGCAAGTAATTCATTATATATTATTTTGAATTGACAGTCAACCCTAATTAAACATTTAAAAATGAAAATGTCTCTGAAGTGATTCAAGCACAAATGGGTCTGGTGAGTAATAAAAATGTGTGTTTTTTGGCTTTCCCAAAAGCTGCTGCAAAAATGTCTCTATTTTCTTTCTCTTGGGAAGAGGAGAGACAATGAGAGTTAAGAATAGAGGCTTTCACCAATAGCCAAGGGAGCTGAAAATGAGCACACACACACATCAAGTGTGACCCAAAGGAACTCCAGTGTCTGCTGCACTTCGATCATTTCTGATCAATAACAGGTAAACTCTGAAAGGAACTCGATGCCACATGAGGTGGCCAATTAGACCCATCTCTTTAAATCAGGTTGCCGTGGTGATGTGGTGTCATTTACACAAAGGGCACAGCAGATGCTGGTGATAAGCACTGCCACACCTCAGCCAATTACAGCACGGGCATGAGGAAAAAAAAAAAAAGAGCGACTGAAGCTCCTGACTGTGACACCTTCATTATAGAATGTCTTTCTCACACACACAGACTTACTTACCCCAGACGGTCTACAAGGTCCCAGAGCACATTAGCACTGGGAACAAGAGGGGAGCCATCGTACAGGACCACAGAAGCCCCAATGGCTAGAGAGGACACCAGCCAGTTCCACATCATCCAGCCCGTCTGCACATAAAGAGATATCTACTTTTAGATCGGGTCAGAGACTACGCTTTTGTCCCAAGTTTGACCAGATTGGGCAAACCCACCAACTACTCAGCAAAGTTTAACAAACAGTGCTCAAAATGGACCATTTCAACCCAAATATCATTTTGAATATCACACAGGACTAACCAGATATTGCAAATTATGTGTACCTTAATTTTGCAAACATTACTAATAGACATAGAGGAAAGAAAATACATTGTCCTAACAAAGACATAATGGAAAATGATGTTAACCTGATTTATTAATAAATGCCCCAAGTGTTATTGTGAACGATTCATCAGTGTACGCCATCCTAAAGAAGAGAGCTTGTTCATAATCTTTCATCAAAATGTAATAATGTTATCTGCCTCTGAAATTACTTTGTTTTTACTATGTAATATCAAAGACTATGGGGGTGGTGCAAAATAATATTAATTAATCATATCATAAACTAACATAAGGAGTTCTATAACACCTGTAGAAGTGTGCCATTGTCATGTACATTACCATGCCAATCTCTCCGAGAGTTGTCATGTCATACATCCATTACAAATCACCTTGAGTGGAAAAATGGCTAAGAAAAGTAAAATCAGAAGTCTGTAATATCAGAGGCGACATAGCACAAAGCATTAGTCGAGGATGATTGTGTTTATTTTTCTGAATCTCATGTTCTTCTCAAGTTCTTTCTCCTGTGCTGGTGTTGTACGTTCAGAAGTATTCTGGCAGGCAGGGAACGACCTAATTAGCGAGCTAAAGGATCAGCGACACTGCATGGATTAAAAAACCCTCACATTCCTTTTCTTCTAACACCATGCCCTGCAACAAGCGTCTAACACGTCTGCGAAAGCATTAATTGCAAGCGGCGTTCATTCATTCGCTAACTGCCATAACCCGATGCGAGTACTGTTTTCATAAGAGCACACTGAACATTGATCATCCATAGAGTGAGGAGAGAGAAATGCATCTGCATGTGTACATGTGCAATTGTGTGTTTTCATACACACAGCGCTCTAATTATCCAGCACGCAAGAGAGGCGTCAGATACAAATGCCGCAAAGGCTGAAGGGAAAAGCTGTGAAAAATGAAAACACAGTGTTATACACAAAAAGTGTGATTGTAAAGCACACACAAAAAAAATACAAAATAAAAAAAATCAACCAGTGTTTTTGCCTTCCCTGATTTTTTCGATGAATTTTCTATGCAGTGCTGATTTTTGAATTTAAATTGTGGGTATGTGGAAAAATAAAGGCTGATTTAGACCCATGTGAGCTGCTGTGTCCCTAATGTTGCGATTATACAGGAAATGCATTCAGAAGGGATTAGAATGGTGCACATAATTGCTCATCCCAATTGCATCCAGCTTATAATGCCTAACAGGTTTTAAAACTGCCTCTTACTGCCATCTAGTGGTCAATGTTGGTTATTCAAGAGATGTTGTGTATGATGATCAACAGGAAAGAGGTGCTTTTACACACTTTTGGCATACAAACATCACACAGCAGTTCAAGACACAGACCAAGTGGAAGGGTAAACTTAGTAGACTAAAATATTAGTTCAGCTGTAACTACAACATTCTAGCCACAACGACATCAAAAATTAATCTAAAATTTGGTGCCACTCCCAAATCAGTGTTATTTTAGTATTATTTACCAGTTCTATCAAACCTTTACAATTAATCCAGAAACACATCTCTTCCATCTTTATTTGACCCTCTAACTCTAGCACTCTTTATTCTACTTCTATTCTTAAAAAAAAAAAACTTGTCCCTTTTAGACTTGCACTCTTATTCATTTACTGCTTGTTTTCTTAAAAAAAAAAAAATCTAATCTTTTTGTATTCTATTTGTTTTCTTTTTATTTATTATACAATTAACAAAAGCAAAAAAGGCCTCCAACACTAGCTTGCTCTATTCTTTTTCTATTCTATCTGTTTTCTTTTTATTTATTATATAATAAAAAAACCTTGCTACATGTACTGTTAAGCTAACTGAGACTTGTTATAGCACTTGCATATCAATGCTCTTTTGTTGATTTTGATTGCTTCCATTGTCCTCATTTGTAAGTCGCTTTGGATAAAAGCGTCTGCTAAATGACTAAATGTAAATTTATATTTACAAAATATTAATATTTTGAATGACATTTTATTTTTATATTTTCTTACTTTTAGTTAATTCATGTAATTCTGTGATATGCTGTTGTCATTTTTATTAGTTTTTTATATTTAGTTTTAATTTATTTTTATTTCAGTTTTTGTTTTAGCAAATTTTAGTACTTTAACTCAAATGAAATGCACTGCATCATCTATTTATTCTTATTCTTATTAATTATATTTTAACTAATTTTTTTGTTCTTAGAATCAATTTTTTTATTGTTCATTTTATTTCTTAATCATCGGTTTTGATCATTTTTAATGTCTGTCATTTCTGTCATGATTATTTTTAAAAACCTTTTTATGTATAGCACTTCGAATCACCATTGTGTATGAAATATGCTTAAAATAAGTTGAAGTTGATTTCCAAAGAAACATTTATAATTTTCATTTTTCATGTTTGTTCATCTAATATTTACATTTTGTTTTATTTCAGCTTTATTTAAATTCACAAAAACAATATTTTATAGTTTTAGTAAACAATAAAAACACTGCCGCAAACTCTGTCTATGGGTACATAGACAATTTTAAGCAAATAAAATGCATCAATATGTTCCTACATTATAAACTGATAATTTAGCTGTTGATATTTGTAGTACACCTGCAAAACAAATGCTTGCATCTGTATTTTCTTTCGTTATACATCATGTTTGAAACAAGGCGCTCCAAAATGCATATATCAAGTAATTGCACAGAGTACAATATTTTAAATTAGACTCTGTACAATGTCTTCAGTGTGTGCGCACACACACTCACCCCAGCAGAATGCACCATGCACTTGGGAGCCCCTGTGGTGCCAGAAGAGTACATGATGAAGAGAGGATGAGAGAAGGGCAGCTGCTCAAACTCCAGCTGAGGGTCCTGATCCCCTTCTTTACCCGTGGCCAAGAAGTCATCCAGGAACACGCTGACAGAACAAGTGCAGGAGACAGAGAGTCAGGACTGACTGCATCCTAACCAGACAACACTTCAGATCTCATTTGAACATACAGCAGCAGCTGGTCACTGAGAGAGGGAAAAACACCCAACAATAACTTCATAGACAAACTTGGAACTGATCTATTCTGTCAGTTTAACAAGGATAACAAACATTTATTCATATGAAATACGTTCCAATCAACAAATAGTGCCCTATTCAGCCATCTTAAAGGGACAGTTCTCCCAAAAAGAAGATATTTTGAAGAATGTTGGTAACCAAACAGTTGCTGATAGCAACTGACTTGAAAAATCTATGGAAGTACCAAATTCTTTCAAAATACCTTCTATTGTGTTCAACAGGGGAAAGAAATTCGAATGGTGACAATTTTCATTTTTGTATGAACTATCTTTTTAAGGAAGATTACAAATCCATGTGTGTTCTAAGTAGTAGTTTACAGCTGTAATGCGATTATCACAATCACGGGTTGCATAACAGTAAATAAATTTCATAAAATATGATCAAATCAAATTTTTTTTTAAATCTCTTATGTTCACCAAGGCTGTATTTATTTGATCAAATAATAATACAAAACAGTAAAAGTGAAAAGTGAAATATTATCACTATTTAAAATAACGGTTTACTATTTAATATATTTAAAAATGTTTTCCTGTGAAGGCAAAGTGAACTTATAGAAGCCATTACTCCAGTCTCCAGTCAGAAATCATTCTAATATGTTGATTTGCTGATTAAGTAACAGTTCTTGTTACACTAATGAGTTTTCTAATGAGTACAAAGTTCAAAAGAACAATTTGTTTAAATTAGAAACTTATTGTAACATTATAAATGTCCTTACGGTCACTTTTGAGGCTTTTTCAGACCGATGAGTTTTGTAAAAATCGACGCGTTTCAGAAGGCGGGGCATAGAGGAGAAACAATAATGTACAGTATGTGGAAAATAATGTGTTTTTTTTACTTTAAACCGCATAAACACATTTCATTACACCAAATACACAAAATAATGTTCTTTTTAGCAGCATCATATGACCCCTTTAAGGCAACCATGTTAAATAAAAGTATTGATATCTTTTAAAAGATAAAATACAAATTGTACTGACCCCAAACTTTTGAATGATAGTGTATGTATATAGGAAAGGTTGGTCATTTATTCTTCATATATATTTATTAAGACAAGTACACTACACACAAAACTCCTAATTACAGCATGACTCAAGTTGGAGTGTTACAAATGAATATACTTTGTCAAGTAAATTGAACTTCTACATACAAATGGAAGAACCAGTGCAATATATAATAAATGTGATATATTGAAATATGATTGTAAACACACATCATGCACAGACCTGTTGGGAATCTTGGAGAGGTCAGTGTCTTGTCGAGAGCGAACGTATGGAATGACCACAACCTTCTTCAGGTCAGGGAGACCTGAGAGATGATGGGGGGAAAATATATATTAGGATCCATGAAATGTATGCATATCAACAAGACAAAATGATGGGAAAATTGTGGGCTGAAATGTGTGCTTTAAACCTTTAACAACGTTTTGGAGTTTCTCCATATGGTCGTGCTGCTTGCCGTTATACACAACAGCTGCTACTGAGAATATCAACTTGGGCTGGATCTGAGAAAATCGGTCTAGAACTCCCTTAAGATGAAAAGAGACACATTAAAGACAGAAAAAAAACCTGAGTAATGCTACACACACACAATTGGCTATATTATATTTAAAAAATATATATAGTCACTACAGTTCAAAATTTGGGGGTCAGAAATAATTTTTTCAAGATTTTTTAAAGAAATTAATATGTTTTTTCAGCAACAATGCATTAAACAGATCAAAAGTAAAGACTTTTTTAAAGACAAAAGATTTATATTTCTAATAAATGCTGTTCTTTTACACCTTTTTATTCATAAAAGAATCCTGAAAAAAATGTATAACATTAATACAATAAGAAATGCGTCTTGAGCACCAAATCAACATATTAAAATGATTTCTGAAGGATCATGTAACACTGAAGACTGCCATTTCTGCTCAAAATTCAGCTTTGCATCACAGGAATAAATAACATTTTAACAATTGAAATATTTTCAATTGTAATAAAATTTCACAATATTACTGTTTTTACTGTACTTTTGATCAAATAACGCGGCCTTGGTGACTTTTTTTCAAAAGAATATTAAAAGAATGAAAAACAAAAATCTTATATTGAGTTTGGACCAAACGTTTGAACAAAAGCATATACACAATTGCCACATTGAATCCACTTAAAGGGATAGTTCACCCAAAAATGAAAATTTGATGTTTATCTGCTTACCCCCAGGGCATCCAAGATGTAGGTGACTTTGTTTCTTCAGTAGAACACAAACGAAGATTTTTAACTCAAACCGTTGCAGTCTGTCAGTCATGTAATGGAAGTGAATGGGAATCACATACACAAAAAAACATACACAAACAAAACCAAATTAAACCCTGCGGCTCGTGACGATACATTGATGTGTAAAGACACGAAACGATCGGTCTGTGCAAGAAACTGAACAGTATTTATATAGTTTTTTACCTCTGATTCACCGCAATGTCCGAACTGTCCTGAGCGGCGGTGCGTCCTCCCGAGCACGTTCTCAACAGCCGGCGCGTGTCTTCTTCTTCTTCTTGCTTTACGGCGGATCGCAGACTTATAAGTGCGATCCGCCGTAAAGCAAGAAGAAGACGCGTCACAAGCCGGCTGAAGAAGAAGACGCAAACGCGCTCAGGACAGTTTGGACATCAGTGAATCAGAGGTAAAAAACGATATAAATACTGTTCAGTTTCTTGCACAAGAGTGATAAAACTAGCTGTTTCTCCAGTAATGGCTGTAATCAAAGCAGCTCCGCTCATGAACGCTTCTTTATCAGATCAAATGAAAATGCCATCGAAACTTTTCTGAAGACAGTCAATTCCCTTCAGAGATAGATTCATATAAAACACCCGCGCCGTGTTATGATTTTGAAACATGCAGTGCTCATGTTTATTCAACGAAGTCAAACGGCACAAATAAATCAATGTATGGGAAACTGGTAATGTATATCGAAATATTGGAAATGTGTTTAAAAATCATATCACCGTTATTGAAAAAAATTATATCGCGATACATATCGATATTGAATTATTGTCCAGCCCTAAGCAGATAATCATCAAATTTTAATTTTTGGGTGAACTTTCCCTTTAACTGCAGTAATATGCTGTAGTACCCTGACTTAACCACAGATGGCAGCAATGTATACACTGAGTTTGTTTGCTTTAGTCAATAAGCCATGGTGAATCTATGTTGCTTTATCTGCTAGAGCCTGTCCTATTTATGGAATAACCTCGGCCCTGAGGGGGCTGTAGACTTACTTTAATCTCCTCAAAGGAGAGTGTATGTGAGAGAGAGAGGCAGGAGCGAGAGGTAATGTGTGTGTGTGTGACAGAATGTCTGACATAGCTAACAGGTCACACACACATTTGAATACCGACAGAATTGACGGTTAGATGACCTATTTGCTAGCGGGATATATAGATTGCATTTAAAACACAAGACGAGAACAAAGTGGAAGCTCATGACAAAAAACTGCCCCAGTGTCAGTATGAAGGCATGTGGGCACATGAATGCTGGGTCTGCGTGGTACAGCAATGCCTGGCAGCCGAGGGCATTCAGAGTCATTCTTTATGCCGACGTCCAAATCTGATATTCATACATCAGGAAAGGATTTCTCCACACCACTCACTGGATCCATCAGTGTCAGGTTTTTCATCTATTATGTATTAAAATTAATAATCTGGCACTTTAAAATTTCAGTGACTGGAAGAAGTCAGCCAAACAATTTGCTACATGAGATACTTTTCTGTGTAACATGCACTACTATTTAAAGGTTTAGCGTCGGCAAGAATTTTTCTTTTTTTTTTTTATACTTTTTTCAGCATAGATACATTGAATTGATCTGAAGTGACAGTAAAGACATTTATAATGCTAATAAATGCCGTTCTTTTGAACTTTCTATTGAAAGAATCTTCAAATATTGCAGTAATGTATCGCAGTTTTCACAAAAGTACTAAGCAGCACAACTGGTTTAAACATTGATAACAATAAGATATTTTTGCACAAAATCAGCATATTACAATGATTTCTAAAGGATCATGTGACACCGAAGACTGGAGCAATGATTTACTCTAAAATTCAGCTTTGCCATCACAGAAATAAACGACATTTTATAGATATTCAAATAGAAAACAATATTTCACAATATTACTGTTTTTACTGTATTTTTAATCAAATAAATGCAGCCTTGGATAAACCCTACCAAGAGGCTATTTTTTTTTTTTTAACAAATTTAATACAATTTTACTGACCCCAAACTTTAAAATGGTATGTAGTGTACATGAAAAAATTAAGTGGCTGTGCACAAATGTGTGCAATCTGTCATCAAATTTTCAGGTTTCTCTGTTTCCCTGGATCAAAATGAAAGGTGAAATACCTTTCCAACCTGATCTAGCCTGTATATTTTACATGTTCTGATGATCCACATCTCACAGAAAAATGTAAGTGGTTGCTAAACACTTAATGTATATTTTATATGATTAAAAAATAATATGTTATAGTGGTCATATGGTAAAATAGCAACCATTATGCATGTAAAGCTCTTACATTGACACCGAAATCTGGAGAGGTTGAACTCCAGATGGCACCTATACTGGCAGCAGCGAGCATAGCCTCAACAGCATGAATCCCATTGGGAAGATATCCTGAGGTAAAGAGAGAGAATATATCACACAACATCACATTACAGACAGCAATGGATCACCTAAATTGTGCAAGAATGACTCTTAGGAGATGCAAGTTATTTTAGTGAGCACTCAGCAGGCACAATATATTAAATTATTATACTGTATAATCAAAAAATATTACACAAAGGTGGGAAATGATAAATACAGCTTCTAATATGCAACTACTATATAAAATACAATTGCAATTTTTACTAAAAAAGAAAGTGTATTTCTCAGAGAGAATGCCAATGCACCAACAAGGCATTGGACTTCACTAATATACAAGTCTTACATATCATATATCAAATCTAATTCGTTAAATTAACCATTCAGGCTATTTTATTGTCTTTTCTAGTGAACCCTAATTGCAGCCTAGCCGATCAACCCTAACTCTTGCTATTACTCTTGACTTCTCTTCGAGTTTGTGGCTACATTTGAGGCTCAACTTAAATATTATTTCCTCGACAAGTCACTTTGGTAAGAAAGTACCTGCCCAAAATACTTACAGTTTAAATGTAAATAAAATGTAAGTGTTTTGAACGAAATAAAGAAAGGAAAGACAGAAAGCAGCACAGAATAGAAATTATGTCCATTAGCTAAATGATAGTCAGTGAACTACGGCTCTGTGTAGTAAATGCTGCTCCATCTGAAAACATGTGATGGAGATTTGCTACTAATTACAGAACCGGCTTTACTGACACGATGCGCGTTAAATAGCGCATGCGATTTATCGTGCAGCCCTAATATACATATATATATATAGCCTGAATGCACTGAAGTTTTAAATCTGCACTTTAAGACTAATTACCCCCGCCACGGTATAACTGCGCCCCCCTTATTCTCCATCCACAGCCATGAATGGCTCTGGCTGAACCCCAGAACTGAGACAGAATAGGGGAGTTTGTGATTTCAGGAGCGACTGTCTGGCTCTAAGAGTTGGGACACTCATGACAAACAAGGACAGAATAAAAAAGCAAAGTAAGAGGGCAGGAAAAACAGGTTAGAGTGCCTAGGCCCGATGCAATATAAAACAGTGTTAGATTTTCTTGTATTTGGTTCAGTATTGACTTGTATTTCCTCATTCCACTGCTGTCATGTGGGTGTCAAATGGATGAGTGAGAAAGGGCAACACAAAATAATACAAGACAGACAAAGTGAAAGAGAAAGGGAAGTGATGCTCACCTACGACCCGGTCTCCAATTTTGATGCCCATCTTCCTCATGGCAGCAGCGAAGAGAGCGACATCACGCAAATCTGGAGAGGTTGAACTCCAGATGGCACCTATACTGGCAGCAGCGAGCATAGCCTCAACAGCATGAATCCCATTGGGAAGATATCCTGAGGTAAAGAGAGAGAATATATCACACAACATCACATTACAGACAGCAATGGATCACCTAAATTGTGCAAGAATGACTCTTAGGAGATGCAAGTTATTTTAGTGAGCACTCAGCAGGCACAATATATTAAATTATTATACTGTATAATCAAAAAATATTACACAAAGGTGGGAAATGATAAATACAGCTTCTAATATGCAACTACTATATAAAATACAATTGCAATTTTTACTAAAAAAGAAAGTGTATTTCTCAGAGAGAATGCCAATGCACCAACAAGGCATTGGACTTCACTAATATACAAGTCTTACATATCATATATCAAATCTAATTCGTTAAATTAACCATTCAGGCTATTTTATTGTCTTTTCTAGTGAACCCTAATTGCAGCCTAGCCGATCAACCCTAACTCTTGCTATTACTCTTGACTTCTCTTCGAGTTTGTGGCTACATTTGAGGCTCAACTTAAATATTATTTCCTCGACAAGTCACTTTGGTAAGAAAGTACCTGCCCAAAATACTTACAGTTTAAATGTAAATAAAATGTAAGTGTTTTGAACGAAATAAAGAAAGGAAAGACAGAAAGCAGCACAGAATAGAAATTATGTCCATTAGCTAAATGATACTGCGGCAATAAACCTTGGCCTCATCTGCAAAGTGGCCATATATTCTCTCCTACTAATGCACACGCTGTAAATCAAGGGGACAGACAAGGACACTATAGAGAGAAACACACTTTATACATGAACACACACACACAGAACTGCACACCCTAACAGGATCAATACATGTAAACGTCTGCACTTTTACGTCACATAACACACACTCCTAAAAACAAGACACACCTCTGTGAACACACAGTCATGTTTGCATCCACGTAGACATATTTATAAAAAGGGCACAGTAGTCCAGGAATTTTACAGCAGAATTAACACGCATATTTTCATTGCAATTTAAGTGTTCTTATGTAGCTAATAATTATTACAGATAAACTGTGCTGGATTAAATATACTTTATTGTCCCACTATGGGAAATTTGCTTTGGACTACATGAACAGCAGCCACTCATAGCACACAAACACACACAAGGGAACCTACACATACTCTGAAAATGGTTCTTGCATTTATTTTATTTTTTAAATATTAAAAATATTTGTAAAAATAATTTGGATTTTTATATATACAGAGAAAGGGAAGTGATGCTCACCTACGCCCCGGTCTCCAATTTTGATGCCCATCTTCCTCATGGCAGCAGCGAAGAGAGCGACATCACGCCTCAGCTCTCCGAAAGTCACTTTGACGATCTCCTCTTTTGCCTCAGCTTAAAAAAAAAAAAGATAATTTTTTAAATTGTAACTTTTATAAATCGCAAACATGCTAAACATACATGTCAGAAAATAATAATAATAATAATAATAAAGAAAAAAATAAAGAAGATGATACTTTTTATTTATTATTATTTTATTATTTAAAGGTAGGCCTATTTTTAGTTAAATTTTCTTAAAAATAACCATCATAATAAACACTAGCATTCAAAATTTGGGATTTTGCAAGAATTTTGCTATTTTTGCAAGAAATCCCTTTTTCTCACAAAGGCTGCGCTTATTTAAAAAAATTTTTTTTAATTCAATTGCAAAATATTATAACATTTTAAAATAACCTATTTCTCTTTGAATATATTTCAAAATGAAATTTACTTCTGTGATGGAAAAGATTCAGAAATCATTCTAATATGCTGATTAGGTGCTCAAGCAACATTTCTTCAGTACCGTTGAATAAACAGTTGTGCTGCTTAATGTGTTTGTGAAAATCATGATATATTATCTTTTCATATTTGTTGGTAACACTTCAGTACAGGGACCAATTCTCACTATTAACTAGTTGCTTATTTGCACGCCTATTATTAACATATTGGCTGTTTATTAGTACTTATAAAGCACATATTCTGCATGACCATATTCTACATCCCAAATCACTACTAACTATTAATAAGCAGCAAATTAGGAGTTTATTGAGGCAAAATTTGTAGTTAATGGTGAGAATCGGGCCTTAAAATAAAGTGGGACCGATTTTTTTTTAATGAATCGAAATTTCAAAAGAACAGTGTTTATTCAAAATATAAATCTTTTGCAAGATGATAAATGTGACTGACACTTTTGATCAATTTAATGCATAATAAAAAAAATCGTTTTTGAAAAATTAAATGCATAAAAATCTGACTGACCCCAAACTTTCAAACAGTCCTGTATTGACTGTTGTAATTGTCTCCATTTATAATTAAATCTACCTTAAGCTTACATTATCAGTGCCTACAGTATCAACAAGAGAATTCTTTGCCATCTGTGACTGTGGTGCAGCAGAGATATCGCAGGCAACTTGGGTAATGTTTTTCATTACTGTACATAATCAGCAAACGAAGTGTTAAATGTAATTTGCGCTTCAGAGTCCTATTTAATCTACTTTTTCAGGTAAATGAGCCTCCTTATTTCACGAAGACACAAGCCAATGACACAGGTACATTTCTGATAGATGCCACTTTGGTAATTACACCCGCTTTTTCCTGGACCGCATCAGGACATCCATCACAATATAAAAGCACAACGACGTGCATCCCGCCCCTACACAGACGCTAAACCCACAAATCAAATTACAGACAGCATAATTCAGTTAGTGTTACATTAGCCAGAGGACTGCAATGACAGATTCTATCTATACAGATAAAACACATATGCACACAGCGCTGTTGCTATTTTAAAGTAGCCATTTGTGTATAAGGTCAGACTGACAAAGGCTCAAGGAGATCAGCAGACATACAGAATCTTGTTTTGAATTGGGAGACGTTTGGTCTTGGAGATATACTGGTAATAAAATGTGTAATGAAATGTTTAACAGAAAAAAAAAAAGAAGCAATGGCAACCAGGGTTTGAATGCAGTTGATGTAGTTCTTAGATAAATAAGAAAGTTAAAAAAAGATTAGTATTGCTTGTGCTTGAGAGTGCAGTTTGGGAGAGTGGAGTGAATCGCCACTATCTGATTTTATATGACCTGGATGACTGCCACTGAATTCAGTTCTGCCGATTATGATTATGTCATGACTTCTGCAAAATCTTGCTGCAAATAACGCAAAGCTGAAATTTCTCTTGAAATAACAGACAAAATACTCCATTACACCATAAGACACTCTGCATAATGAAGCATCAAACATCAGATTTTTCTCATTTTATTCACTATGGACAATATACAGTCAGACAGCTTATTATCAAAAAAATAAATAAACCCAGGCAGGAGCATCAGGATCAACCAGAAAGGGTGCATTTTGCAATAGTGTCCAATTTAACCTGCTTATTATCCGGCTACTTACCGAGCAAGTAAATAAATAGATATGAAATATTGATTTGAGATTACATTATTTCATTCAGAGTGAAACTAGCACAGTCTAGGCAATTATGCTGACCAGGGGCATGCTCAGTAATAGTTTACACAAAACTTGTTGATGCTGAACGAGAGCGGAGTAATAAACTTGGGTAGTTCAGAGATCGGCTGTGACTTACTTGCAGCATAGAGAGCCACTTTGTCTTGGTCTTTGTGTTTGAGCAGGTTCTCTGCATAATTCAGTCTGCTGCCTTTAAACCACTCGGGTACATCAGATATCCTTTTAGACACATCAACCACCTGAAACAGAGAGCGAGCAGGGTCACACATCAGCCTGTTTGATGGAGCACCTTTTAAAATCATTTCTCTTTGTGCAAACATCTGTACATCCTTTTGAGACAGGGATATTTGAGTCATGTTTATGTACTTTATGGTATTTATTGATGTTTTGAATTAGCCTTTATTATTATATTTTCATTTTGTTATTTTTTGAACATGCAGGACAACCACCTAGCAGTGCATTACTTAATTATTTTTTACATTTCTGTTTAGCTTCCATGTATTTTTATTTCAGTTTTAGTAATTTTAGTACTAAACTTACATTTTTTATTTAAGCTGGTTTGAAAGAAGGCATTCTAGCCACCACCCTTCTTTGATATGAACAAACACCCTTCGCAATTATTAGTTAAACTACACAAACATACTGCAATCCATGTTGTCATAAAACTGAATAATAAAACAATCTTTGAGTCAGCAAATAATCAAGACAGAGCATGCAGTAAAATAGTCTGAGAAGGATATGCATGGACAAAAAGCCATATATAGACTGCAGATTGTGTTGTTTTATTATGTTTTACCATTTGACCCTCCTTAAGTAAAACTACAGCTGTCTTAGACGGAAAAGCCCCAACACACCCTCTTAGCCAGAAGTATGATATGAGCTTTAAATATTCCCAGCAGTAGTTCAGACAGTAGTTCTAAATGGTAATAAATTCATAAATGTTTACTAGGATAAAGTTACACGATTCATGTGTGACTAATGAGTTTGTCCATCATCTCTGTCATCTATTGCACGTATACCTCCACAGAAGTAAGACTGAAAACCAATCACAACGTGACAACTACTACATCATCAGATTTCTTAGTTGAAGTCCACACTAATTATTCATTATCACGGTGACATCATTTCGTGGCAATGTGAACCTGGGTGCCACTCATTACACAACAGGAAATGACAAACAAAAACCCTCTAAATGCCAATAGAATTAAATGTGAAAAAAGATGATTAATATATAAAGGACAAAAACATGAGGGAAAAATAAAACTTACCTCCTCATACATCTTTGAACAAGTGATGCCACAGAATCTCCAAACCTGTGCCCAGAACTCTGGATAACTGTCCACAGACCACTGATACAGGTCATTATAATTAGCTTCGAAATAAAAGAGAAATTATTGAAAGTACCATTAGACAAAAAGCATGGATTATTTAACTCGGTTTAGCCATGATGCAATACTACAAAATCAGTACTGTAAACACAACAGACTTATAACATTTGATCGGACTCCTTATTTTTGTTATTTGCAACGATTCAAATATTTACTGCATGCATCAATTCTGTTTTTCGAGAATTAATTGAATAGTTACACATACCTAATAAAAAAAAGGGGACAAATGTAATAACTTAAGAATTAACTATTGAAAATAGTCTGACTAATGTATAGACATGTCCCCTTTAAATCATTATAGGCAATATTCAGATAAGTGGTCAACCATTATCAGTTTTTAAATAGTTAAATCTTAAATTATTAAAATTTTTCATTATATATATATATATATATATACACACACACACACACACACACACAAACAATACTGGAGGAGGTAGCAACAACAACAACTGCAATACCTACTAGCTCAAAGCAAATAGCAGTCATCTATGAGCTATTAGGGTACTAGTAGCAAAATTAATAAGTACTAGTATTTCATGAATAATGATGAATATGTACTGTATCTTATGAATATTAAATTGTGAAGCTGAAAAATGTACTAAGCACTACTCAATTACTTACTAAATATTAAATACTAGTAACATGCAAACAAATACTAGCTGGCTAGTTTGTCATAAATGAAACTGATGTCACGCCTGCTGAGGAGCACGTAGATGATGAGACTATGGAAATATTTACTGCATGGTATGACGGCCAGTCTCTATTCACTCTATACACTGTCAGTCTGATTTGAAATTCTGGTTTTACAACTCATAGAGTGTACATGCATTGAGATGTGGCATGCACGAATGAATGGAAATATGTGGCCAGACATCCCTTCCTATGCAATTGAAGGAGTTAAAGACAAAATGGATCCTGGAGAAATTTTAGTGGGCCAAATTTACCACTGAAAGCATAGTTAGAGTAACTGTTTTTGCTGAAATGTGGCCATGACATAACCCAGGATGAGCTATTAATGGGATTACCACCACACCATAGTACTATGTTTTGTTTTTCTGTGGAATAGGGGTGTGTTGTTAGCTGACATACTAACGTTAGTCTGTATCCATTCTATCTAGTCCAGGCTGGCTCTACTCACCCAGATTCACCCCGAAGTCCCGGTTCACTTGAGTCCGGAATCGGTCCATTTGTGTGTTTCGTTTAGAGTCCGGGTACCAGAGCACCTTCGACTCCATAATCTCCTCGCTCTTGGCCTCCGTGTCTTTAGACATGATCAGATGACACGAGTCGGTATGTCGTGAGTAACCTATGAAGACTGCAAGAAACGCACAACGGGAGTTAAACGGGTCGATCCGGTGATGGTGTATTGGTGCAGCTCAGACACATGGGTCACTTCCGAGCGTCAGCCACACATAATCAACCAGCGGCGGAAGTCCCGCCCACCGCGCAACCGCACACCACCCTGCCAACCTCCATATGTTCTTCCGCTTTTTATGTAGTGCCAGGTTTTTACACAAATTTATGTTTATGATTCAAAAATAATTCTGAAGGAGTTTTTATTGAATAAATATATAGATTTTTCAGAAGTTAATGGACCAGCATTTGCATTTGTTGGCTTGCACATTCATGGTGGACGGTCTAACTGTTTTATCTAGATAGCAATGATAAGGAAATCCGACCTATTTCTGCCAATCGGTTCTTCTGAAGAGCTCATTTCAGAGAAGAACATTATTAATCATCATCATAACGATGTATTCGCACCTGACATCCCCGAGTGACATTCTCTTTCAAGTTTGAATAAACCTATATTTATATAAGCACATAATAATATACTGCGTTTTTAAAATGCTTTTTAAAACACCTTTAAAGGGCAGTAAGGTTTGTTTGTTTGTTTGTAATACAATTTGACCCAGTTCTCTTTATTGCATAAATTATTCAGCTCATTAAAAACAAAATAATAAACACGTAAAAGCATAAATAAAATACTCTAAACTTTTGTTTTTGGTACACTACAATGTTCATACGATATATATCTTATATGTGACCCTGGACCACAAAACCAGTCATAAGGATTTTTTGAGATACAACACCCGAGATACAACTATTGGAAAATCTGGAATCTGAGGGTGCAAAAAAATCTAAATATTGAGAAAATCGCCTTTAAAGTTGTCCAAATGAAGATCTTAGCAATGCATATTACTCATCAGACATTAAGTTTTGATATATTTACGGTAGACAATTTACAAAATATCTTCATGGAACATGATCTTTACTTAATATCCTAATGATTTTGGCATAAAAGAAAAATCGATCATTTTGACCCATTTAATGTATTTTTGGCTATTGCTACAAATATACCCGTGCTACTACTTAACACTGGTTTTGTTGCCCAGGGTCACATATAGGGCTTATAAACTCATTCGACAGTTCTCAACCCAATATGAGTCGAATCTGTTCAGGAAGAACTGTTATCGGTTCAGTGAGTCAGCGAACGAATCTTTCAGAACGGTGTTTGTGAACCGATTCATCATTTGATTGAAAAGAATCGGCTCAAAAGAACGATTTGTTCACGGATGGAGCATCGGTTATTTATTTATAAACTTCATAAACTAAAACGATTAAGTGATGCCAACTAATAAGGGTGATAGAATAAAGTGTCAATCTCAGTTTGGAACAGTCATTTTGAACTTCAGACTGCATTTATCGTGAATACACTATATTTAATAAAACATATAAGGATAAGAAATACGCATTATTCCTGCTATAGAATTTAGAACAAGTAAAAGTAACATTCAAGAGCCTCTAAAAGTGTTACATAGATTCTTGTTTACGTAGAATACTGTATATAATACTTGACCACTACCATTTAAAAGGTCTTGGATAAAGCATTACTGTTAGGCTTTGGCGGAAGAATATCTGACTGTGCCGCAATTAGCATGTCTTTTATTCTATTGGTTCCTAAAGCTGGTCTCACATCAGCCGAGACCGCAGCACGAGAGAAAGCAACATGGACAGACGGAAAGGCGAACCAATCACAAGTCAGACATCCGTTCCGCCTGAAGCGCCCAGCCAATAGAAAAAGGGATCATTTAGAGGTGTGCCCAATCCCGAGCCTGCAGCCTGTAACATGATCGGATGGGAAAAACATAGGTTAACATGTGAAAGGTGGCTCTGTGCTAAATGTTCCATACATTTTGTTTGAATTTATGCAGGTGATTTGTGTTTTCTAAACATTAGAGTACCAGAGAAGGGTACTGGATTGTATATAAAGAGCTGCTGAATATTTTTGCAGAGTCAGCAGCAGTGATTTCCAAGGCCAATTTCATCAATATTTATAAAACATTTAGCAAATAGGAGTTGCATCATAGATTTGCCATGTAAACTTGGCCGATTTACATTTAGATGCAACAAAAAGAAAAGATAAAAAGCATCCATGCTGCTTGTTGGTGATGAAACAAAGGCCCATTTCACTGAAATATGCTAGCATCAAACGTGCACAAATGGGAATCTACAATAAACTGTACTTTAAGTACAATACTAAAACGTAATTTCAGTTCTTTGCACTTGCATCCTGAGGTCTTTAGTGACATAATCTTCACAGATTCAGTGTATCTGTAGGCCTATGCATTTACATAAACACAAATGTGAGGAATAAAGAAAAGAAAAAGGAAATCCATCTGTCTGTCTGTCTTAGTAAGACTGATATGAAGTCCACAAGGGTTAGTAATAAAAATGTGCTTTTATAAAAGGAATGGGAATGGGGTCATGTCTGCCCCCCTCTGGGCACAACAAATAAAAAAGCAACAATGCACAATATTATATACAAGCCAAATATGGATGTCTTAAAGGCACAGTGTTCCTTATGATTGTTACATATTATGTAAGCCATGTTAGACAGCATTTGGATCAGCCCTCACAGGGATACAAGAGATGCAGCTGGCTGAATAAAACGAGACGTGTTTGCAAGAGAATCCCAAGAGTATCTATGACAAAACAGAGAAGAAGAAGAGGGGAAAACACTACATGGAGGTGATTTTAGACACACAGTATGTTAAACTGTATGAGGGTAGCAAATATCAAATGCCAAGTACAGCTAATGTCACTAGTTTTCACCTCGGGGTTATCAAAAAAGTTGTGCTGTCAGCATTATATAATGTTAATTTCATTTGTGCAATGATCTGTTGGATCAACTTCAGCATTACTGATTATATCACAAACCATTTTTGCAGGGCAAACATACCATTTGCTCAATCTTCACAAGCACCCTTAGGATGCTAAACTCATCCATTTGCTTAGCTGTGTGTCAGACCAGATTCGTGATTTAACTCTTTACAGACAGACACTGACTAGAGCTGTAGAGAGTTCATCGGACGGAGGCCATTTGAAGAGACAAATGAAGCAATGTTCAAACAAGTGTCTGTTGCATCACGTACAACATCCTATGTCCAAATTATGAGGTGAAGCAACTAAACGTTCAAAAAACTTAAACTGCAGGGTGAGCCAGGGTCAGAAATGAACTTTTTGTCCCCTGGAATTGATTTACAGGGGTATTTTTTTAGATTCGCGAGGGCAATTTTTAATTTAAACTTTAAATTTAACCAATTGCTTCAGTCAATCAAAATACTTTAAACTGTTGCCAATAACAACTGATTACATTTAAACACAGGAGCTGCTGCAGTATTATGACAAAAATCGATATTGTCGACGATAGCTATTGATATTGTAATAATGATTATTAATGTTGATTCATAGAATACATAATTTAAAAAAAAAAATTTGTGTCTGCGTTTTGGGGAAACGGCTTGTCATGTATTCTGGCTCTGGCTTCACAAACATTTATCGGTCCATGACATTAGTCTAGCCTAGTGGAAGTTATGCAAAAACTCCAGTTATAATCACTGAAGCTACGAAATTAATGTTTTATTTACATCGAATTTGCACTGTGAAGAAGAAGAGCGCGCACATTCAGCAACAACTAATCTAAGCATCTCCGATTGGCCGTCGCATTCCTAACCTAAACGGAAACGTGTGTGATTGGTTATAAGACTCAACGCTGCAACGCTACTCCACTTGTGATGGGGCTTCTTTGGTCTTTGGACTGCAGCAGAGGAGGTTCAGAGCTGCAAGCCGGATGCTGTCATCCAAAGAGGAGAGGGCAAAATAGAGAGTCTTAATAGCACCTGGAAATATTCATAGTGTTGAGGGCAGAAGATGGCTAGAGGCGTTATTTTGAAGAAGAGTTAATTCTGAAGTCAAAGTGCGCGTGTGTGTGCATTTCTGTGTCATAGGGTGGATGGGGCATTTGAACATGTGGAGAAACATTCAGTTAAATTGATAACGTTTCTTCTCACCAAACTGGAGCACCATTATGCTCCAGGGGGAAGTCGTGGCCTAATAGTTAGAGAGTCGGACTCGTAACCCAAAGGTTGTGGGTTCGAGTCTCGTACCGGCAGGGATTGTAGGTGGGGGGAGTGAATGTACAGCGCTCTCTTCCACCTTCGATACCACGACTGAGGTGTCCTTGAGCAAGGCACCGAACCCCCAACCGCTCCCCGGTTGTGGTCATAAATGGCTGCCCACTGCTCCGGGTGTGTGTTCACTGCTGTGTGTGTGCGCACTTTGGATGGGATAAATGCAGAGCACTAATTCCGAGTATGGGTCACCATACTTGGCCACATGTCACGTCACTTTTTGATCTCACTGCCAGGAATGACATGCTGCTTGCAGCTCTTATTCATGGTATAACACTGAGCTGAGTTTATAGATCTTGCTACAGTTGTTTACCACTAAGTGGAGGTTTCACTACTAATATATCTGAAAATATGCTGAAATAATCCACAAATAGAGTGTGTTTTATTACTTCAGGTGCTCTGCAGAGGGGCTTGCTGGAGGTGCCAGGGGTCCTAGCGGAGTCGATAAAAAGCAATCTGATGCAGTGAGAGCGAATGAAAATGTAATTCCGTGAACAGACTTTTTACATTCATTTTCACATTTTATTTTAATTCAAATTTTAATTGATTTGTCGTAATCAATTTCTGCCCCTTTATCTTCCATTTGTGGGGCATTTTTGCCACAAGCACCCGTTATTTTCCATGTGAGCAAATATAAACTATAATACTATTAATGTGAGTCAGGTTGAGCTCTCAATATATCTATATTTTAAAAAATAATAAATTCAAGACCTGTTGGTCAAATTGTATGTTACGTTTATTAAATCATTTTTGGACCACCGTTCCATCTTAGAGAAAATCATTGAACAAGTTTCATAAAGACAAAAATATGTTACAGACAGCGCAAATAATACCACAGCAAGCAACATCGCAGGTGAACACTCCTGATGAAAATTACACAGTACAAAGCAACCCTGATATAGAAATCTAGGCATTCACTACACAAAAATACCAGTTAAGGTCTAGACTTCACAAAGATTCAGTGCTTTCTAATACAAAACAGTCAATG